GGCTAGAACATGCTCAGCTTCAGATGAGAAATTTTTTTTAAAAAATTCGCATTTTGAAATTTATATTATGTCATGTCAACAGAACAAAACTATGCAAGTTTGTCCATAAACACTAGCAGTCATTGTTTTTTTAAACTTTATTCAGTAAAAAGTCTTAGAAACTATATACAGTATGTAACTTCTCAAATATTTGCAAAAAAATCACTATCAAAATAAAAAACAATTTTAAAAACATTTGCGCCTAAGATTATCAAAAAGTTAAGAACATCGAGGCTCGGCAAAAATTATCTGGTTCTTATGAAAAATTAATGTACTGTAGAAGCAAACAACTCTTCTAGAATATCACAAATTCTTCAAAACCAACTTGGGCTTGAAAAGTCACCTATCTTCCGCAATCAAATGAAATAATAAAACATGAAAATTTTCGTTGAAAGGATAGGAAAATTTAATACTCAATGTCGACCTTCCTTTCCTATTAAAACTGAGTGAATCCAATGATTCAATTCGATACTTCAATAAAATTGGCCATAGGTAGGCCTCATGTGGGATTCCTGGCGATGTTTTCTATTACATGCATCGCGCGTTCTGAAGCGACATTTAAGAATCTAAATAAAAAAACTTACAAGGTATATTCAAAGCTCCAGGTATTTTGCCAGTTTCCTCCAGCTCATGTGGGTTTCTTACATCAATAACATAAACTTTTCCTGCATCCAATTTGCGTTTCAGTTCGTCCGCTTCACAGTTTGGATCTTTAAGCAATTCCTCCTCAGTCATATAGCATCTCTTGCAGAAATGTGTCATTGTCAAGCTTCCATGAAGGGGATGACACCATGATGGGTGACAATACCTTGTCGGGGGTTTCCAAACACAAACATCTGTAAAGATGAAAAAGACAGTTCGATTCAAAGAACGTTCCATTCGTTCTCACCGCAATTCGTTCACTCAACACACCGCACAACGTGGACTTAAACGTTCAACAGGCCTTCGAATCAAAGAACCGGGCCCAGAGGCTCAGCCAGTTTCTGTTATAAAATTCATCTTACCCCAGGGACCTGTAAACTTCCATCCAGCGATAAAAGATAGAAATTTATGCAACAAAATCAGCATACAAACTTACAAATAAAATCATTATACCAGCAAAGCCAAGCATGAGGTTTATAGAGTTATAAGGTTTTTGGGGCCCTGGGGCAAAAGCAAAAGACAAGGCCGAGCATTTTTGCGACCACACCCTTTAGAGTAGCTTAAATTTATTCATTCGCTCAAAATGTTTTACCGTTTTTAGGTAAAATTTTGTTTCTTGCAATTAATTCCATTTTCAAACGGAATTCATTACTTTATGAGGCCCCCTAGACTCGAAGCAATGGGGGCAATCCCCCCCCATCTCTCAGCGGCCCTGAAGATATGGCCAATGAGAGATTTAAAGTTTGCCAACCGAAACTGTTATTGCTTCGAAACGAAGAAACGAAAGCATTGCACAGTACTGGTTACCAATGCTGAGGAGAGGGGGATCAGGGAAGTCACTGACCGGGAGGGCCTTGGCTTTAGAGGTCCTTAAATAATAATTCAATTAAAAAAATTATAAGTGATAATCCTGCCTCTCCGTTATCACAAACTGTCAATAATAGAAACAATAATGACAAAAGTCTATGAAACAATAATGACAAAAGTCTATGAATGAATCAAGGTAGAAACAGTAGTTAGGGGCGTCACTTGAAGGTATGGGCGTTAGTATGGGGGAGAGGGGTGGTTCACGAAAGTAGGACCTTTTCGCAGGGCAAAACTGATTTTTGCAGGGCAAATATTTTCTACCAACGGTTCTGTTTTGTTGTTTTTCTTATGTAACTGTAACAAGAAAATAGGTTATGCTTGAAATTTTTCTACTCCAAAAGTCAAACGATACAGACTACCAGTGACACGAAGTAGAAATTGCCAGGTTGATCTTGGGCTGGATGGAATAGATTTCTAAAATGATTCTGATTTCCTTTCACCTTATATGTTACACTCATTTCTATGGTTACACCCTTGGTTGATATTTATGTCTCATTTAAAAACCATACTAAAAAGACAAGCACCGCTTGCCAGAAAACTAAGATACTGTAAACGGGGCTATTTGGGTCAAAATTTGATGGAATAGTTTTGCATATTTGGGTCTAAATTCGCTTTTACTGTAACTAGAAGTGTGACTTTAAGAAGGGAGTCGACTATATATTGTCATTATATCTTTTTTGTGGATGATATAGGGTGTATTGTATAAATTCCCGTAGGTTTTCAAGCTTGTGTTTGCCATTATGCCATCAATAAATCTTTTCCAAAATATTCGACTACGCCCAATCGGGGCATTGCTCAAGATATGTTGCTCTATTGTTGTCATGAATATGTTGGCATAATTTGGGACAAAGGGTTTCCCCATTGCAGTTAATAAAATTTACCATTACACTCTTCTTTATAAGAGCCAGTAAATTGAATTTCAGGCTGGTTGTTCTTAATTTTTTCGAAAATCTGAGGCTGAATTGTTCTAAATTTGTTCTTAATCTATAGGGTATAAGCAATGCGATTGCTGGCTTTTCGCTCTAGAGAGGTGTCCTGGCCTAATTTGCCAACAAAGTACGTGAGAAAACCTTCATTTGCCGCCATATTTGAATATTCACCGAAGAAGCACCCCAAGATGGCAAAAACTCCTCGTTTTTGAGATGAAATATTGTTCAAAGTTACATTTTATAGTAGCACAGCCTCGGCTTGTTCTTAATTTGTTCTCAATGTTCTTATAAAATTGTTCGAAGCTCGTGTTCTTATAAAATTGTTCGAAACCTTTTTCGAAGCTCGTGTTCTTATAAAAAGAGTGTAAAGACAATATAATTATTTTTGAGAATAAAAATCACCATGTTAAACCCAAGAGACCTAACCCCCGAATGCCAACCGGTACCGAATATAGCCGGGCCGGTGTCATATGCGTTTCTGCATGGGCATGCGTTTCTGCATGGGCTGAGACACATATGCGTTTCAAATGTTAAAGTGTAATGGCGGACATGGAGGGCCTAGCTGTGGGGTACACAGCGCGCACATCCAATATAAACAATACAAAACGAAATCAAAGTTCTAGTAAAAGTAACTAAATATCAAATACTGAAATGAATAAACCTCTTGACATGATAAACTCAGAAAATGAAATTACAATCATGCTATTGATAAGATGAACAACTACCATCCGCTTAGCCCATGCAGAAACGCATAGAGAATTTCAGTGTTATGCGTTTCTGCATGGGGTATCTAAAATCAAAACACCATCAAATTTCATCGCAAATTAATGTTTACTAGCAAGAAATGATTGCAACAACCTGATATAGGTCAAATTTTTCCATGCAAGTAGCATTTTTGAATTTTTATCATTTTTTGTAGTTTGCCTTAGGCCCATGCAGAAACGCATAAAAAATTTCAGTGTTATGCGTTTCTGCATGGGGCATGTAAAGTTTACGAACCATCTCTTCTTGTTCGTCCTAAAGGACACTTGCAAGACTTGATAGGGATAATGTCGATGGGATATTTAAATGAGGGGCCAACGAGAAATTATAAAAAATTATAAAAAACCTTGGAAAAATTATAAAAACCATGCCCTTTCAAACACTAAATGTTGTATGTCTTGATGTTTCTTAACGGTTTAGACTCAACGATTAGTGATGTTTCTGCTGGTTTAAATTGTGGTTAAACTGGTAAAATGTTCTGTTCCCTTTTCGGTTATTGATAATAATAAGATACTGAAAGAGGACAACTTGAATAACTGAAGAGTGCTTTTCATAAAGGTTTTCTATTAAATTTACTATTAAAAATTCATTAAGAGTTTCAGAGAATTTCAGCTGAACATCAGGGTAGCATTTCTTCATGAGTGTAGTAATGTTTTTCTTAATGCCGAGGCTATAGTTTCTTTAAAATGGTAAAAGGAACAAGACAAGCTGTTTATTACTGTCAAGGTCAGAGGTTTTAGTAGTAGCTTTAAACTGTATGTCGAGAAAGACACGGATTAACTTATTAATTCGTATTCAGATCATCTAAACCAATCTCTAATTCATTCATCTTTAAAGACCGCGACACTCCACTTCTGTGCTCTAACGTTATTTACAAGTTTACTTGTAGTGGCTGCAGCGCCATTTATTATGGCAAAACATCTCGAAATCTCATAATTCGATGTAGCGAGCATTTGGGAATCAACAAACATAGTCAAGGTGTTAAAACAGTTAGCCCTTTCTTCATTCACGATCATATTTCCAAAACTGGAACCCGCATTAAAATCAAATTCTTATAAAAAAGATCTATCCTTAAAAGAAGTTGCTGTCTTAAGATTAAACTAACTTACTAGAAGCAATTTTTATCGTTTAGATAATGAATGATTAAAAAACCCATATTGGTTTTTAGGCGCTCTGTTTTATTGCGTAAGAAAGTTATTGCGAAAATGCTTCATTCATTTGGAAATGTCATAATTTCTGTTGTTTTTCTCTCTGTAAGGGGCAAGTGCGATGCAGCAGAGAATAGAAAAAGCCACCAATGGGTCCCTCCTGTATAAGCCCCCGACAAATCAGTTCCCATGTTGTTAAGCCCCACTTGAGGCTTATCGTTGAATAATGTACATGATTTTAGCCAGTGATAAATCATGTATTAAAAAAAATTTGTTTTGATGATATTATTTTTGTTTTAAAGACGATGCAAACAGTCACTTTCCAATTCATAGCTTTTACAATTTTGATTTTTTTCAGGCAGCGCTACAAAATTTTCAAAAAAGCAAATTTGCTTTAGCCCATTACAGAAACATTTCCAATTACAAGAACCGCCCTCCTCCCCAGGCCAAATCGAGTATTAATGGTACTTGGAAAAGTAGTGCCCCCAAATCGATTTAAAAAGCTGCCACTGGGAGAGGCCAAAATAGAAAAGTGATTAATAGAGCCGTGGCGAGACAGGCCTTGTTAGGAAAGGGGGGAGGGGGGTGTTGCTTACGAAACTTCCTGAGTGAAAAAAATTCCTGCA